TAGTGGCCGTGGTAGTGGCCGTGGTAGTGGCCGTGGTAGTGGCCGTGGTAGTGGTAGTGGTGGTAGTAGTAGTAGTCGTGGGGGAAGGAGTAGGAGTAGTAGGAGTAGTAGTAGTAGTAGTAGTAGCAGTAGGAGCTGTTGTTGTTGTTGTTGCTGATGTTGTTGTGGTTGTTGTTGTTGTTGCTGTTGCTGTTGCTGTTGTTGCTGCTGCTGCTGTTGCTGCTGGTGTTGCTGTTGCTGTTGCTGTTGCTGTTGCTGCTGCTGCTGCTGTTGCTGTTGTTGTTGTTGCTGTTGTTGTTGTTGTTGTTGTTGTTTTGGTAGCATAGTGTAGTGTAGTGTGGTGTGGTGCGGTAAAACGTCTAAAAGTGGTTCGAACATTGCGTTTTTTTTTCACATTATGACTTCGAAATATGCTTCGCGCCACAACCGCGTGCACTTTTTCGGCATCTCAACGTCCCAAAGTGGTCCGAACATGTAGGGTTTTTACCATTTTGACAACGGCGTGCACTTTTTCGACATCTCAACTTCCAAAAGTGCTCCAACAATGGCGCGCTCTGCACATTTGATTTCAAAATGTGCTTCGCGCCGCAACGGCACGCACTTTTTCGACAGCTCAACGTCCAAAAGTGCTCCGTCCGAACATGTAGGGTTTTTACCATTTTGACAACTGCGTGCACTTTTTCGACATCTCAACGTCCAAAAGTGCTCCAACAGTGGTGCCTTTTGCACATTTTGATTTCGAAATGTGCTTCGGGCCACAACGGCGTGCAAATTTCATCTCTCATCTCCCAAGATGGCTCCGCACCCGCGGCTTTTGCGAGCCTACAGCCTACTTCTCGACCCTCCGGAGCCACAAAACATTGGAAAAATACAGTGTTTCGACCTTTTCACGCCCTTGCATCTTTTTTTTTCTTCCTCTCTCTTCTCTGACTCTTCCCACCTCTGCTTTTCCATCTGTCCTTATTGTCGGAAATTTGACTTCTAAACTTCCTTCGACCATAACCTGCCAGTACCTCAAGCAAAGCAGTGTCTATCCGTGAATTTCACACCTGGTGTGTGATGACACTCTTGGTGGAAGCATGCAGGCCTTTCCCACGTTGCAAAAGCCCCGGATGATTGCAGAGTAAATAGCCTTGAAACATCTTGAAACCAAGCCAAAAATGATCAAGGGGGAAGAGCAACACGAAGAAGTGTCAGAACTCGGTACCAGGAAGCTTAATTGCAAATAGCTTCTGCCAGTCTGTGCGTTTTAGCGAAATAACTTGACGTTGCAATCCAGGTGCAAAGTCTCCGTCAAACCCGTCCGATTGAAGCTGCTGCAGGCATTGCGTTCCTGACGTGCCACAAACGTTGTCTAACATGTTTAACATAATGCAAGGTGAGGATACGTTTGAAACTTTCTCAGAAATTATGTCGAACATCGATCAGAACACAACAAAACCAAGATAAGCAGAGCAGTCGTGGAGCCTTTGGAAGCTCAAACGCGAACCTCCGCTTGACACAAGGCCAGGTGATGCCAGGTGCATATACTATGTATATAAAGCGGTCCATTGCCCAGGCTCCCATATCCATGTTGCCACTCCGTGCGCAGGCGACTATGAACAACCTGGTCGAAACTTGGAGCAACAGCTCTTCCATGTTTTGCCATTCTTTATCTAGACATCTTGATGGAATGTCATGCAAACTCCTGGCAAGCTCTGCGATTAGGTATCTTTTCACTATACTGCGTGGTGTGCATATGAATCAGGAAAACATAATCCCGTTGAGAAGTCATCGTCATTCCATGCAAGGTCTTCTTGCTGCGTCTCGGCACTTGTTTCAGCGCTCGTTGACACATTTGAAATACACATACGAAATACACATTCGGTCTTCGCCTCTCGCATGAAGTAGCGGAATGAACAGTAGAAGTAGCAGTGGTACTACTAGGGGTCAAGTAGTTGTCGTCATCGCCGTCCGAGTTGGTAATTGCTGGTAGCTAGTAGCTAGGAGAAGCTTGTATGTAGCAAGTAAGTGTTGAATGGGTTGGGTTGTTTCCGTGTAAAACAGGTTTTAACGAAGCCAATGTTGAAACATGTGTAAACGATGTTTAAACATGTTTGCTGCATCCCTGACGTTACGCCGCGTCTGACTTCAGGTGGATATGAAGATAAAGTTGATGTTATTATATATCACAATCAACATATTGTTCATAAGGGGGTGGCGAATTTTAATATGATGATGATCATGATGCGATGATGATAATGATGATGATCATGAAAGTTGAAAGTGTGGAGCAACGTCCGGGTTGGGGCGAACATGTTTAAACGGAACATGTTTAAACACGATGCCAGCTGCGCGAATTCTAGTGGAAAATGTGCCAATGTTTGAACATGCAAGTTTGAGCTGTTCAAGCCGGGGCCGATTCCCAAAATCAAGAAGGACAAAACGTTACGATTTGCTCGGGCACCGAAATATGGACGGATGTTTTAAAACAATTTGAAACGTGGATCAGGTGAAGTTGCACAACCCACCCACAAGTTTGGGCGTTGCATTTTTTGACGGCCTCCACATTGACAAGCGGGTCCTAGCATATCCTGGCATTACTTGCTTGTGTTTTGAAGATTCATTCCATGCGAGCGAGAAAAAATAAGCCATATCCCATCCCGTTGTACTGGTATGTACTGGCCATAGTCATCCCTTTTTTTGGTTATAATCTCGTAATAATGATCGCAAATAAACCAGGTCGTAGAATGGGGCAACTTTGCCAGGACGTGTTTAAACGCTTTTTGGGGGGATCCCTGTGTTTAGCCTGACCGTGGGTGAAGGGGCGAGGTAGTAGCACATACTCGGAGGTACTACAAGTACTGGTAGTTAGAAAGCATTAGTGGTGTGTGTGTGAAACATCTGAATAGATGTAAAACTTCTACCTGTTGCTGTCATTGCGCATCGGTTTTTCATTTTCCACTTTTTCAATCCTCATGGTCGCTTTGTTTCTTCAAACCCTTGTGTCATGTCAATTTGTCATTTATAGCAGGGGGGGAAGTGCACGACTGACAGTCACTGCCCAACGAAGACACTGTCAGTTCGTGGTGATACAGAGCCTGATCAGCTCTGCGTGCCTGCATCGTTTTCTCATTCTCATCTATGGCCGCCGGCTAAGCCAAGAACCGGCATGTCGATTTTTCAAAGAGTTTTTTCAATGCAAACTCAAACTTTCGGACTTCCACTTGATGTCACTTCAAAGCCTGTACAGTTTTCGCAACTGTCAAGGTGGGAATGATTTGAGTTGAAGTCAGCTTCAAATATTTTGCATCTTGCATGGGCTAGGGCGATGGAACTTTTCGAACTTTCTCGGGTCCAATCACCAACCCATTCCTGTCAGGTGTAATTGGATTGTTGTTGCACGTAAGATGCATTCCACATCAGAATTCGCAAAGATTGTTATGAGCAAGTGTGTGATTCATGCTGGATTGGTCACGGTGGCATGAACCCTTCGGGGAATACCTTTCCAGGTAGGAGAGTGAATCCCCGACGTGATCTCTGAATTTACAT